GGTCTTGAGTTGTAGGACGGCTGGGCGGCGAAACCGAACCCGGAGGTGCGCCGTGTGATGACAAAATCAATAAGCCCACAAGCTCGGTCCGTTTTGGTCGGAGTCCAACTCACCGGTTCGGACTGGTTTGGGATGATTCGGGTTGATTCGGGACGAACCGGACTCGATTGAATTTCACTGAATTTTACCCGAACGAGCTGGCCAGGGCTGGGCTCGATTGGGTTGCATTCGGTCGCGTTGTGTTGGGTTGGGTTAGGTTAGGTTGGGTTGTTTGTGGTTGGGTTATTTTGGGTTGCATTGCGTTGGATTGGGTTGCGTTGTGTTGCATTACGTTGTGTTAGGTTGTGTTGTGTTGCGTTGTATTGCGCTAGGTTGGATTTGGTTGCGTTGTGATGGGCTGTTTTGGGTTGTGTTGCGTTTCGTTGTGTTGGCTTGGGTTGTTTTGGATTTGGTTATTCTGGGTGGCATTGCGTTGGATTGGGTTGCATTGTGTTGCGTTGTATTGTGTTAGGTTGGATTTGGTTACGTTGTGTTGGGTTATTTTGGGTTGCATTGCGTTGGATTGTGTTGTGTTGTATCGTGTTGTGTTGGGCTGGGTTGGATTTGGTTGCGTTGTGTTGGGTTGCGTTGCGTTGCGTTTCGTTTTGTTGTGTTGTGTTGGGTTATTTTGGATTTGGTTATTTTGGGTTGCATTGCGTTGGATTGTGTTGTGTTGTATCGTGTTGTGTTGGGCTGGGTTGGATTTGGTTGCGTTGTGTTGGGTTGCGTTATTTTGGGTTGCGTTGCGTTGCGTTTCGTTGTGTTGTGTTGTGTTGGGTTATTTTGGATTTGGTTATTTTGGGTTGCATTGCGTTGGATTGTGTTGTGTTGTATCGTGTTGTGTTGGGCTGGGTTGGATTTGGTTGCGTTGTGTTGGGTTGGGTTATTTTGGGTTGCGTTGCGTTGCGTTGCGTTTCGTTGTGTTGTGTTGTGTTGTGTTGGGTTGTTTTGGATTTGGTTATTTTGGGTTGCATTGCGTTGGATTGGGTTGCGTTGCGTTTCGTTGTGTTGTGTTGAGTTATTTTGGGTTTGGTTGGGTTGGATTGGGCTGCGTTCTGGTGCATTGTGCTGTGTTGTGTTATGTTGTGTTGTGTTGGGCTACGTTGCGTTGCGGCGTGTTGCGTTGTGCTGCGTTGTGTTGCGTTGTGTTGTGTTGGATTTGATCATGTTGTGTTGTGTTAGTTTGTTTTGCTTTAGGTTATTTTGGGTTGGATTTGGTTGGATTGGGTTGCGTTGTGTTGGGTTAGGTTGTGTTAGGTTAGGTTGGGTTGTTTTGGGTTGGGTGATGTTGAGTTGAGTTGAGTTGTGTTGTGTTGTGTTGTGCTGTGTTGTGCTATGTTTGGTTGGGTCGTGTTGGGTTATATTGAGTTGTATTAAGTTGTGTTGGGTTGTGCTGTGTTGTGTTGTGTGGTGTGGTAATGTGTTGTGTGGTGTTGTGTTGTGCTATGTTTGGTTGGGTCGTGTTGGGTTATATTGAGTTGTATTGGGTTGTATTGGGTTGCGTTGTGTTGTGTTGTGTTGCGTTGGGTTGGGTTGGGTTGGGTTAGGTTAGGTTGGGTTATTTTGGGTTGGGTTATTTTGGGTTGCATTGCGTTGGATATGGTTGCGTTGTGTTGTGTTGCGTTGGATTGGATTGGATTTGGTTACGTTGTGTTACGTTGTGTTGGGTTAGGTTAGGTTAATCGAAAGTATGAAGACCAAGATGGTGTGGCCTTTTTTGTGGTCGCAGTCTCCTTTCGTTGTATAGAAATTGTTTGACCTTGTTTTCGCAACTCGGTCATAACTGTTTAGCACACGTTTGGTCAAAGGATCGGCTTTACTTGTCTCTTTGACGAGTTGTAATATGGTGCAACGAATGGCAAAACACACTGACGATGCCGACTACGATGCCGGCGAAACGTCTGGGAATGTACCACATCCACGGTCCTAGTCTGGAAATGATGATGCATACAATGAACTCCGGACTAGGTGCGTTCCTCTAAGTCTTCCTACCATTATGACCGAGTTTCGAAAACAAGGTCACACAACTTCTAGATAAAGTTAGGTTGGGTTGTTTAGGGTTAGGTGATGTTGAGTTGAGTTGGGTTGTGTCGTGTTGTGTTGTTTTGTGCTGCGATATGTTGTGTTGTGTTTGGTTGGGTTGGATTATATTGGGTTATATTGGGTTGTGTTGTATTGTGTTGTGTTGGGTTGGGTTGGGTTGGTTTGGGTTGGTTTGGGCTGGGCTGGGCTGGGCTGAGCTAAGCTCATATTCAACCTGCAGGTCCCTCTGTCACTCCACCGTCGATTCCGCTCTGATTGGCTACTCGCAGCCGGCCTTGGGGCTGCACTGGTCTACGTCCAATGGTCTCTCCCTGCAGGCCGGCAGCAGCCGGTGTCTGCGCCTACGCTGCAATCAGGCCCCGCAAACGCGCGCCTGTTCCGCGGGGCTCTGCTCTACAGCCAATCAGCGCCGGCCAGGCTGGACTGACAGACCGGCATACTGCCGGTGTTGGCGATCGCCTGTTAACCTTCGGCGAATCGATTCAGGTTGTCTAGGCGAGCCCCCCAAGACGCTGCAACCGAGGCTAGACTGGCAGATCGACAGGCCTATCTCCTGCGGGCTCTCTCACATGTAGAACGAGCCAGCCCAGTGTTGGTCGCCGTCCTCTACAGCTTGGCCAGCTTCCACCTCTTGGATTTGTCACCTTTCTCGGCGTCCCCTTCGGACTTTATCTCGGCGTTCCCCCTGGCTTCCCCCTCGTCGTCATCCCATTCGGCTTATCTTTTCCGCCCTCTCGACCTTTCAACCCTCGACTTTTCCTTCCACGTCCTCATCCAAATCGTTTTCCACCTTTTTCTTTTACGTTCATCTTTCATCCCTTGACTCGACGACCGGCCAACTTCTCTCGTATTTCCTCTTGACGTCCATCCTCACGCTGCCCGACATTGTTCTCCATCTCCTTGACGCTTCTCTCTCGTCTATTTCGACGTCTTATCATCTCAGTTTAGACATCCAACTCATCGATTTATCTCTCGACATCATTGCTCCCCTCGACCATCCTTTCGACGTGTGTCTTTTCTTCTCTCCTCCATCACCAACTCCACGTCCCCCCACCCTTTATGCCAACCTTCTGCCACCTCTCAGCCTACTCCTCGCGATACAACCCTGTTGCCAGGCTCGTCCGGCCGGCCTGAATGCCTTCAACGACGTACACCGACGTCAGGCAAAGGACTGTAAGCCGATGGCCAGGCGGTGACTGTCCCGTCTCAGACAGACGCGTTTTCCGCCCTTTGTTGCCACGCCGGCCGAACTGTCACCGTCTCTAGCTCTTCACCAGATGGAGGCCAAGAATGCGCTCAAGTTGGCCGGCCTCGATGATGCCGACAAATACTTCGATGCCAACGGCGACGAGGTGGTCGTGGTTGAGCCTACCGACCCCGACGAGGATCGGCTGATGGCCGAAAAGCAACTTCTGGCCCAACACTACGCCGTGACGACAAGCCCATCTTCGATTAGAGAATGCGTACGAGTGAACAACGCTCCTGAAACCGGCGCCGGCACTCCTTCTCCCGGCAAGCCCAGCCAGACGACATCGGATTGCCCCAATTACTTCTCCCTTTCCGACCCGGACGTCTTTCAACGACTGCTGGCGGCTCTCAGCGCCAAGCCGGAGCCACGATGCAACGTCAAACCGTCTATCGCCTGCGCTCCTCTCCCACCCGTCTCTCCTCCCAATATCTTTGGCCAGACTGCCTCTGCAGACATCCGCTCCTCTCGCAGTGCATCAACCGAATCAGCCCAATCCTCTCCAGTTTGGCCTCAACGCAGCTCGTCTACCAACTCGCATAATGGCATCGTGACAAGCGATGACACGTCCACGTCAGCTGGATTGGCTGGCTCTTCTGACCACAGACGCATCCGGCCCGGTGACATGAAGGCCCTGATCGACTGTGTCTCCACGGTACAGTCAAAGGCGGAGTCTGCCAACCCGAAAAAGTCGTCCGAATCCGTCTCCCCACACCCCTACGTCCCGGCTCCTCTTCCCTCGGACCCTCTTCTCGCCGCGGTGGTCATCAATTGTGCAACCGCCAGCATGGTCTGCCAATTGGCCACCGCGGTCTGCAACATCTTTCTCACCACCGGCACCCTCAGCTCCGACATGACGGAAAAAACGCTTCCGCTGCTCGTCTGCCTCCAGAGGGTCATCTCCTCTCTCAATCCGCCCAATCTGGAGGCTCTCATACACTCGGTGAAGATGGCGCCCAGCCTGACGGATCAGGATCGTCGTCAGCTGGCCGAGGTGCAGACGATCGCGACAGAATCGATTCGAGCCAACCTCTTCGCGTTGGACGACTCCAACATGACCGCTCTCACACCGTGCCCAACTTCAGACGACTCTTCTGTCATCAATTGCAAGTCGTCCGGCGATACCGGCTCGGCTGGTTCCACAGCCTCAAGGTCAGTCGGTTGTCGAGAGCATTGGTCCACTCGCCGTTACCTCTGCCCCTATTCTGGATGTACCGACGTGTTTGTCGGTCGGCTCAACCTGATTGAGCACATTCGCCGGCACACTTTGGGCCAAATCAAGCCGAGTCCGGGACAGACGTCACGGCCGAGGGCAGATGTCATTTCGCCGGGTCCACCGAGGCAGATGCATCCTCGACCCGAAGCCGTGCCAGCGTCAGCCGGTCTCCGAGCGTCGCCCGACCGTTGTCTGCACCACGAAAACCCCGCCGTCTTGGAGGAGGACTCGAGCGAGGCCGTCGAGACTGTCAAGCTCGAGGAGAAGTGCCAACTTGTACCGAGTTCCGCGGAAGACGTGGACGTGGACGTGGACGTGAAGGTGAACGTGAGCACAAACAAGGCGCAAGAAGAGGCGCAGGCTGACTCGGAGGCCGGTCGGCTGGCGCCCGCCTGTGGACTGAAGATCTTCGTGTGCGATCGGTTCGGCTGTTCACGACGCTTCTTCTCCACGCCCGATCTGGAGCATCATAAGCTCATCCATCTGGTACCGCAGAGTGGCGATCCTGTTCGCAAACATCTCTGTCCCTATCCCGGCTGTGGGAAAAGCTATTCCAAACTGAACAAACTGCGAGAACATGTCCGCTCGCACACCGGCGAACGGCCCTACGTCTGCGATCATCCCGGCTGTGGATCGACGTTCATTCGTGTCTACGCCCTGAAACGGCACAAACAACTGCACGACTGTTCCCGTCGCAACGTCCTCTCGCGTATGCTCACCAAACGTCGCAGCTCAGCTGCCACAGCCACGGTCTCGAAGGCGCCGCCTCTCAAAGTGTTGTCCACTGACAACGCGGCCACTCCGACCGAGGTCCAATGTCCAGTCACCATTCCGCCGGCCTTGACGACCAGAAGCGGCATTGGCTCCGACGCCTCTTCGTCCGGAGACGGCCTGGCAGACAATGGATCTGGATGCAGCACCAGCAACAGCAGCATCGTCATCCGCAACAACAACA